CTAAAATTGACTGTGTTGTGGGTGGGTGGTCGTCCGTTATGATATTCTCAGGGTTATCTGCAATTTGCTCCTCAAGATCTGCGCACAACTCGTTGTTTAGCCCATGTAAGACTTGACAGCTACGCTGGTGCATTTTCAAACCCCGATTGCCTTTACAAACTTTGCCGCAGCAACATTTAATTACAGTTCGTTGTGTAATAGGTATGTTACGATTACTCAAAGCAGGCATTTCTCTTTCTGTGTTTCCAGAGCGGCTTTGATCATGATTAATACGTTGTTTACACCGCCATGAGTGTCGCCCAAGCGTTACAAAATCTTTACCACAGAATGAACACACGACGCAAATGAGCAACATAGCAATAAAACTTGAGCGAATCATGATTAGAAACTTTTGTGTTTAATTTTAAACAAATATAAATGTGATTCAAGTAAGAAACCAGCGATAAAACTGTGGACATGTACAGAACGCGTTTGAACGCTCTGCTCGATGTCGTAATAATAATAATAATAATAATGATAATAATAATAATAATAATAGGATTTATTAGAAATATCCTTCTTATTTCCTTCCTGACAACAAGATTCCTTGCCAGTTACCATTTCCTTATCGAAACCATCATTCCTCTGTGGGGAGGCTCGGGTTTCGAGATTGACGTTTCCTTGCAAAGGCGAAAATTTTCTTTTGAAATGGAAGCACTGTTGTCCACTTGTTTTCTACCTGTTGAAAATTAATTTTCGAAATTCGAAGTGTCTATTGTTTTGTTATTTCCAATGGAATATGTTTTTGTTAAATGCGTTTGAACTATATTACAGTAACTATGCTTAATAGCGCGGCCTTAAAACCCAGAGATTGGATTAAAGTCTCTGTAAAGCATAGGGAGAAGTTTGAACGGCTTTTAGAAGTGCGGGAAAGTGATCCTGAATCGATAACAACAGTAAATGATAATGACGTTTGTTTCAAAAAAGAGTTCGCAATAGGCAATGGCAGTTACGGCACAGAGGTGTATATTTGCTTGGGGTCTGACGGGGTAGAACGAGCAATAAAACGTTTGCCCAAACTCATGTGTAAGAAATTCTTGAAGAATGAACGAGATATCTTGAATTCTCCGAATGCAGTCGACTCGCCACGAATTGTAAATTATTGTTTCTACGATGACACTTCCAACCCTGATTTCGGTTATTTGATTCTGAACTTGTATGAACAGAATCTTGAAGAATTTATCAGGGAAGAAGGCGAAAGCTTGACAGAATCCCGTGTTCGAAAAATGATACGCCAAGTGTTGGAAGGGTTGAAAGCATTACATGCTAGAGAGCCAAGAATTCTGCACAGAGATTTGAAGCCAACTAATATACTTGTTGATGTGTATGGTAATTTACTGCTGTCTGATTTTGGTATTGGACGCTTTTTCCCAGAACAAGGTATTTTCACAAGATATATATTTAACAGATCTATTGAAATATACAACCCCCCAATAAGTTAGTGCTCAACAGAACTGCCTTGTTCTTTAAAAATCTTGTCTATTTTTGATGCATCGGGATAGTCCAATTCATAAATTAAAGTTGTCTTGGAAAAATACAACAGGATTTATTAATTAACGAGCATTTCAATACAGTGCTAATTTGTTGGAGGTCGTATGTTGCATTTCAGCCAACCCCTCATGTTGTCCCAGGAAATATGCAGTGGCGGCGGCAAATGTGGAAAATGCCCCCCAAATTATTTTCTCCCCCCCCATTTTGCCTCCCCTCAAAAAAAATTATTAGTCACTGATAGCGACTAAAGGCTACACAAACATTTTGTCGTTATCGGAAAATGTATGGCTCATAAGACCGTTTACACTGTACCGGATGAATTTGGGACCGGTCTGAAATTTGTCCTTTTTCGCTTGTTTACACGTGAATTCCTCCTGTTAGGGAGTCTCAAATTTGTCCGGTTCCGTAGTTCTCATGTGTTTACACAGCCAAATTTCAAACCGGTCCCAAATTTGTCCGGTACCGTGTAAACAGGGTCTAAGTTGTAATTACTCATTAGTGAATGCGCATATACATGAAACTGCTTTTACAGTTTCAATATTAGTTTGTAAATCTCTGAATGGTAAAACTTGCCAATACTCCAATAATACGTTTCAAAAAAGAAAAAAAAGCTTTAGTTTCAAATGCAGAGTTAAATTCTCAAACGTGTAAGGCACTAATAAGATGAAAGTATCATGAAATTATTTGAATAAACCATGTCGCATATATGGGGGGTGAATATCCTAAAGGGGGCGATATTCCTAGTGTATTCGCTGCCTGGGGGCGATATTCCTAGGATATTTGCCCCCCTTTTGAGAGGGGGGCGAATCTCCTGGGGGGGGGGGGAAGTCCTGGGACAATGGCATGGGCAAATAGCAGGACCTTTTTAAAAATTCTATCTTGCCCCCCCCCCCAAATATGAGTTTGCCCCTCAAATGCCCCCCCCCCAAATTCTGAAGCCTGGTGCTGCCACTTTAAATATGTCCCCAGGACAGAGTACAGAGTTCCAAATGGACCATTCCAGAAAACATCCATACCACCCCCACTGAGGAAATTGGAAGTTAACCCCCCTACCTCCTTTGGATGTCCTAGCCTAATACACTTACTATTATCAGAAACAATTTTTATAGGGGGGTCTGGAAAATGTTTGAAATTTGAAGGCATGAAATGCCATTTCCTGTATTCTGAGCATCCAAATTTGCTCTAAAATTTATGCTAACTATACTTGGAAAAACGCACAAAAAATTTAAAAAATATTAACAATGATTTATTATTAATTAATTGGTGTTAGAAAAACGCAGGATGAACATGCAATGACACAGCTTGTTTAAATCCATTTGTTAAACAAGGACAAAGGATAAAACCTAAAACTTATTTTCCATTTATCTATTTGTTATTCTTCATTGGTTTGTTTGTATAAATTTAGGAAAAATGGACTTTTCCTTGGGGGGGGGGAGGGGCAAGGGGGGACTGGGGGCATTTAAAAAAGGCCCTGTAGTGTCCACCATAATGGCATGAAGAGGCAGGTATTATACAGATTTAGATCGAGGACGCGGACGTCAAAGACGACGTGAAAATGGCGTCAAAATGGTGTGGCATATCCATACATGGGCACAACACGCTATTTCCACGTCGTCTTTGACGTCCACGTCCTCGATCTAAATCTGTCTATTATAGTTTTGGTATGGTTAATTCATTAATGGGCGAAACTCTCTCTTTGACAAGTAAAATATTCATCTGAGACTGTCAAGGAAAGCGAAACACTAAAAGATAGAGAATTGTTGTTAAATGTGTCAATTTTACTTCTTTACAGGTGCAACAACATACCATACCAGTAACGAAAGTGGATCACATGGCTGGGTCGCATATGAATGCATTGACTGGGATGAATTGTTTTCTGATAAGATGCAGAACCCTTTAGATACACCATTACAACTCAGGTGCAAAGAGAAATCAGATATCCAAGTCGCAGGCATGTTATCATTTTACATCTTGGCCAAAGGAAAGCATCCGTTTGGTCCGAAAATAGCCCAACTGATGAATTTGCACGACGACAATCCAGTGGATTTAAGAGAGCTCACTGATCCTGACCCTGTGCTCACAGACCTGCTTTCTCAGATGTTGGCTCGGGATTTAGAGAAACGACCATATGTGGAGCAAGCCTTGAAGCATCCTTACTTTCTCTCTCTCGAAGAGCAGATGAAATTTGTAGCAGCTGTGGGCAACCAAACTAAATTAAAGAAACCCCACAATGTCGTTCCCCAACAGCTGAACAACCGTCATCCATCCAAACCTCGAAGTTCGTTGTTACCAATGGATTGGAAAACAGTGATTGGCCATGATGACCTCAAGACGTTGTGTAAAGGAGGTCAAAACACCCCATCAGACTTTGTTAGTAGCAATTATACAAGTTGCCTTCGATTGATACGAAACACATTTCAGCATCGGGATGGCAAACTGCGTCAATTGAAAAATAAGACTGACGATACGTCTTCTGTCGAGGAATATTTTTTTCAGTTATTTCCACATCTCCCGTTTGTTCTTCATCAAATAATCCGAGAGAATCCGGACTGGAAAACACTACCTGCCTTGAAGGAATTTTTTCCTGTGATAAACCGTCGTGTGGTGTCTGATGGAGAATAAGGCATACACAATGAGACAATGTGTCAGGTTGGCATATTTTATTATAATGGTTTTCAGTGTTCCTACAGTATACCATAATGGTTTCATTTCAGCCCATTATGGCAACATTTTCGGTTGACTGGTTATTGGATTATTAACCACCATCTTGAACCTTATTGTTGTATTAATAATTATCACATGTTGTGTCAATCAAGTGTTCCAGAAATAATATTATTTTTGGGTTTTTTAAGACCAATATGTAAAATGCATTTGTTTATTATTTTATAGATTCGTCAAGGCCACTGTGTTTAAGCGCTCGTTCCAGGGAAAGCAGTGCTCTATCATGGCGTTATTGGCAATTTAAACAACATGAAATAAGATGGAAAATATTCTGTATATACAAAAAAAAGATTTCACAATTGTCAGTGTTCAGTAATATGCAACTAGTGAGAGTGCTACATGCAATGTATAAAGTGAAAATTTAGGCTAAAAGGAGTTTAATAATTTTAGCTTTATTATTAAGTTAGTGTTAGTGTTAGTGATAATATCTTAGTTTGCACAATACAGAATCTTGTAAAGAATATATATTAATCATAATTTAGGGACTGATAGGTTTCAAAACAATTTCATTTAAATACAACAGTCTCAATTATCATGGTAATTTAGTTAATTTTAATTTGCACCAAAAAGGAAATTTTTAATTTTTTAAGTCCAGAATGGTTTTGCTTTAAATGTCTTAAATCTTTGTATGAATGCTTAGCAAAATCTTTTTTTATTGAGATGCCCACTTTAAATTTAGAACTGCCCATTTTGGAAAATAGGAGGCCTTCAGGTAACCATTAGAACTGAACCCTTACCATTATTGGTTATAGATTTCCCATTATTATGGTAAATTGGTATAAAATATTAGACATCGTAGTTTTTATTAATTTACCATATGGGAAATCTGTAATAGCCAATAATGGCAAGAGTTCAATTTTTACACGAGTTTTGAAGGATATGGCTTTGTTTTCGTACAAAAAGCATCGTTGAAAAATGTGATTTATCACGTAGTATTTTACAACTAGAAGGGCACTTCTGCCCCCCCTGCCCCCCTTAGCAAAAGGCAAGGGGGGCAGCCGCCCCCCCCCCCAGTTCCGGCGTCCCTGGCCTGGATATGACTTGTTTTGGACCATATGAAGAACGTGCGAGGAAATTTTAGACCGTAGGCTAGGAAATTTTCGATCGAAAAAATTTTGACTGATTTTATATTGCATAGTGGAAACACGAAGATCAAAGATGGCGTCCACATTGGAGTCGTATGTTGGTCGTATCCTTTTTGAAATAGCAGCTAGATCTCTTTATTTTCTGTTTAAATATAGGTATAGTTACATTGAATGACCTTTATGTCTAGTACACTAGCAGTCAACTACAGTTATATTTGTGAAAGTATACAACATTTTCGTCTGACAAAGGAGAATGTTACAGCATGTGCACATTATTAATAGGGCAGTTTATGTGGAGGCGATGGCTCGCCGAGTACCTGAGCTGACCCAATTTAGGCTAGACCCCTCTTTGTTATTATTTTCTACTAAATTTTATTTTACGTTTGTATGGGAACTGAGCTGGCCTGCCTCTGCCATATCCTGACCCGAGATCTCGAGTAACCGGGCTACCAGGGTGCATTCTGTTCACAAAAGTGCGAAGATATCCTTATGTTAACACAGGATGAAACTTGCCTCCATATAAATATCCCCCTTCGAGGCAAAAAAGCTGAATAGCTGGAGATAAACCTGACTGGGAGGTTTTGAAGTGAGTACACCTTAAGTTTCTTGAAACCCAAGTCTCTTCCCCTAACATGGCCTTGTATGTGACCTCAATGAATTTTTAATATCTGCTAAGGCCTAAAAAAAATACCTGTTGTTCTGGTTCCCAACCAACCCTATTATTGGGTTGCGACCCTATGGTTGCCGACTCTATTATTTTTTCAATGCGATTGATAGTGCGACCCTATTTCCTCCGGGTAGTTGCGGGCTGCTCACACAGCATGCCAAAATGGCGTCTGTTGTCACACTAATTATTGAACCAAATTGCCTAAATTCATCCATAGGAAATACGCATCTCTAGTTAATATTGATGTCGGGACTCTACTGCAAATCGCCCAGCAAAAAAAACGCCAAAACCATGAAAAAAATATTCAAAAAAAATTTTGAGTGGCAACACTATTCCCCTGACGAGTAAAATTGTCTGGCGTTAGGCAGAGTAAAATAACAAAGTAGGGCGTATCTGCACGCATTGCCACTTAAAGGGTTAAACAAAGGGTTGTTGATGAAATTGTCTTATTCTATGGAACATTGCTGTATATCGACCAATCTGTTATACATGAATCCACATGAATACTTCTTTGACAACATGAATGACAGATACGGTAGCAGTTGTGACTCAGGATGGACGAATGATTGTGGTGTGTAAAATATATCTATTTTTGATACATCCTTATAAAGATTGTTTTGGCCCAGTGTGTAAAGTTTTGGCTTTGGAGGAAATTAATTTCCTGCACAAAAATTCTTGCAATTATGGCAATTTGTGCAAAAGTTTTCAAATTGTAAAAAAATGCAAATAATTTCTGAACAAAATGCCTTTGTGAACCAAGAACCAAGCAGATTTCTGATTTTCCTTTTGAAAAAAAAAAACACTTTCTGACTGTAGGATCCCTTGGTCTGCCATAAATTGTCCGTGAAAATATCTGACATTTCTGCACATTTTTTTCAAAGGAAAAATATTTCCTGCGCAAAATAAAACTTTTCAGTCTGGGATTTGGCTGGGATTTGTGTTCTTGCCCTAGGTCGCTTGAGAGTTGAGACCTTTCTTCTTTTTAACCTTTCTTGATAGTGCGACTCAAAGTAAGCCATATCTGTAACTTACTGTACAATCCTGGACAAAACATCTGCGACACTTCCAATTACTTGACAAAATGTGACAGTCGTAATATTATCGTAAATTTAGAAAACCTCCCCCTTTCCCCCACCATTCAATGGTGATTGCATTTGTAGAGTACGGATAAAACGTCCAACATTGTTTTTGGGGG